CCCCATGTCCCCCAGTGTATGAATTCTGCAGAGGATTGACATACTGTGGGCCTCAGGTTGGAGTGGGACTAATGCCCCAAGTTAGCCTGAAGACCTTGCAGCCTGAGGCAGGCAGGCAACTTGGAGGGGGCTTCTCTGAGTCCTATACTATCTGTTCACCCCAGTGCCATGAAGGTAGAGAAGGAGAGAGTAGAGGCCAAATCCCAAGAAGTCCCAGGACATGAAAGTCCTGCAGAAATAACTAGAACAGCTTGCCAAGCTGCTAAAGTGGAAGAGGATGACCTTGGGGTATACCCAGGCTGACGTGGGGCTCACCTGGGCATTCTCTTTGGGGAAAGGTTCAGCCAGATGGCCACCTGTCAAGTTGAGTCCCTGCAGCTAGTTTCAGGAACAAGTGTAAGATATGGGCCCTGCTTGAGAGACATGGGGGAGGAAGCCAACACCAATGAGAACCTTCAGGAGGTGTACAAACTGGAGACCCTGATGTAGGCCCATCACAGAAACTGGAGCATCGAGGACCACATAAAGAAGAACCTGGAGAACATGATCCTGTATTCCCCAAACTCACCCTGCAGAGGATCAGTGGCATTGCCAAGCAGCTTAGACTAGAGAAAATTACTGTCTGCGTGTGCTTCTGTAATTGGCAGGGGAGCAGTCAAGCATTGACTATTCCCAACGAGAAGAGTATGAGGCTTCAGATCTCCCTTCCCAGGGAGGCCTCAATCCTTTCTTCTGTCCCCGGGGCCCAGTTTTGGTGCTCCAGGAACGGGGACACCCACTTCACCATGCTCTACTCTGAGATCCCTTTCCCCAAGAATGAAGCCTTTTCATCTACTCCTTTCACTAACCTAGGCTCTCGGATACATTCAAACTGAAGCATTAGCCCTGCCCAGGGATGCGGGAAGCAGAGGGAAACGGAAGAGGTAGATCAAGAGAACCTGGAGCCTTTACCACCACAGTTTGGGGATTAATAAGTTCTTCAGTTACTGAGGAGGGATTGGAGGCACAAAAGGGCAGGGGGACAGGAAGTGTTGGGGGGTAGTTGAAGGGAAGAGAAAGTTCAGTGATACCAATGATCATGAGTCAATCATTCATCATTTTGTTCTTAAATAAAGAAGCATGGGATAGCAAGAAGAGAGAGAGAGATGGAGGGAGTAGAGAGTGAGGAAAGGAAGATAAGATAAAATCACACAAGCTCTGGGTACTTGACTAATCTAACAAGTGGTTCATGATGAACTTCCTCTGCTTGCCTTCAAGAAGCAAAAGGACACAGCGCTGCAAACTGCCTTGAAGATGCTTCGTCTCAGGCTAGATCCTAGCTATAAGAGGCACTTATTTTCTTGGAACTTGGTTCATTGAAATAGAGGTCCTTCCTCTAGGGTGTTAGCTTTAAAGATGGAGAAACCCATAGGACTGAAGTTGGGGCATTTTCTAGATCTGAAGACCCTGCTGGCAATTAGCCACGGGGCAGAAGAGTTCCCACGGAAAGTCACTGATGACCTCAAATCCTTCAGCTGACCGTGGTGACCTCTTCCACCTCCCTCTCACCCTGTCTTCGTGCATGCAAGTGTCCGCATGTCATAGAATGGGCACACCACTAATTAGTCCTTTTTCTTGCTTCTTCATCATTGCTAATGAGGAAAAAAGATTAAGAAGACAAAGGGCCAAGAAGGAAAGGCAAAAGAGAAGTCAAAGCTGCTATTCCTGCCTAATTGGACCATCATCAGGTCTAAGCAAGAAGGGACAGCCTCCCTGTTTCTCATTTGAAGACAATCTAACTCGACCACTGCAAAGTCAGCTGCCCTAAAGGCCAAAGTTCCTCAAGAGGAGCCCTGACTATATGAAAGAGCCAGGTCAATACCAATTTCACGGACAAATGCAGAAGGAGACATGAGCTTTGGTCAGCTTTATTTTAGAATGGGGGAGGGTAAAGATTTACTAGGGTGACTGGACTCATGTCTTAAGAAATTTCAGTGACAGACAAAGTAATACACATTCTTGGTAAGCTAGTTGATTCTACCTTGACATTTATTTAGAAAGCATTGTGTACTGTAGTAGCTGATCCATGCCATGACAAAGGAAAGAAAAGAAAAGAGATGGGGGGGGCAAAGAGAGAAAAGGAGGAAGAGGAGAAGGGAAAAGGGATGGAAGAAAGAAGCCAGGGATAGAAAAAAAACATCAAGGGGGGCAGAGATGAAACAAGGTTATTTGTGTAAGACAGTCCAGTCATCATGGATCGAAGGTCCTCTGCAACCCCCCATTTATATGTCAAAATCCTAACCTCGTATCTCAGAATGTGAGTGTATTTGGAGACAGGAATTTAAAGAAGAGATTAAGGTAAAAGTAAGCTATTAGAATGTGTTCTGATCCAATGTGATAGATGTCTTCATGAGTAATTAACCACACCAAGAAATCATGAGACTAAACATATGATGGCTGCTACTTTCAAGCCCAAGAAAGAGGCCTAAAGAAGCCAATCCCTCTAGCATGTTGACCTTGAAGATGATAACTGAACACAGCCTCAGAAGCTGAAAAGATTAACTAAATCCACTCATGCAAAACAGTTACAGCAGCACCCGGCATAAAACAGGCTCTCAAGAAGTGGCAGCTGAGGTTGCTCCCACCGTAGCGACTGATAACAAGCTGAGGACAACATCAGGAGACCTGGTGAGACACCCAATTGAAGTTAACAAGACTGTCTCAATGAACACCTCGCCACCAGCATCCTAGATGCCCTCAGGTGTGTGACCAAGCCCCCTGGGACTTCCATTCTCCTCATTTCTCAATGGTAGCCTGAACTTCTGCCTGGCACTCAGGATTCTACAAGGTTTTCACTGGGAACAGAAAGGCAAGTGGCCCAAGCTGTTTAGCAAGAGTTTGGGGGGGGGGCACCTTCAAACTCAGAATCACTGGCTTCATTAGTCCAGGGAATGATTTTCTGAGGTACCTTCACCCCCTGTACTAGGCCTGGTAGCTGAGAGAGCTGAGGAATAGAAAGACAGCAGCTCTTGTGTCACCTGGCCTCTCCTGGAAGCTGGACTCAGGTGAGGAGGGAGATGGGAGACGGCACAAGAGAGCAGCAGGCGCTTTCCTAACTAAGCCTTAGATGTTCCTACCACAGGCAGACAATAACTTCTGCTCCACATCCCTGGGCCACAGCAGGTTAAGAGCAATGGGGTACAAAGTCAGAAAGTACAAGTTTATTCTGTTAATGTGGGTTATCTATGCCATTCTGTGATACATTATGCCCTCTGTTCTGAGGACCAAGGGAGAGGTATTTTATGGTGGTTGTTTGTTTGGTACTGGGGAAAGAATCCAGGGTCTTGTATACCAGAAGTATATGTTCTCCCATGGAGTCCCAAGGCATGAATTCGGATTCTACAATTTAGCAGGCCAATTCAGGAAAATTATATTATGCGGAACATAGAATTGAGAGCAAAGGTGCCTCTGATGCAACCTGTTCCTGCCCATGCCATCTCATAAGGGAACACTGATCAGAATGAACCCTGCGTATTAAATGAGGAACAACATTGCCTGCCATTTTTCATTTCACATCACCCCAAATGGTCCACATAAAAGGTGCTTAAGGGGCTCCTTGCGGGAAAGGATCTAAGTCATCTAGGGTACCATCTCAGTAGATTCAGAAATAGGGAATCTGTGGTGGGTCCTGAAGCCCCACATTTCTAATAAGCAACACCCAGTTGATGCTTAATTTCAGGCCACACTTCAAATTATACACTTAAGAGTAACTTAATTAGAAGTTCCTAACACATGGGTTCTCTGGGAACAGTCTGGGGAGCCCTGCTTTGATATCACTTGGGGGTCTGTTTGCTACTGTCCCGCCAACCAGTTTCTCTGACTGTGGGACCTCGTGAGCCTCCTTATTTGCTTGTTTCTTTGTTTCATAGTGCAAGGGGTGGGAACCAGGCCCTTGAATAGACTAGGCAGACCTTCTAGCACTGAGCTAAAGCCATAACCACAGCTAATAATCTGATGAGTCTGGAGCCTAGTGAGAAGGTTCAAAATTCATTGCTTTATATGAAATTTGACTTTTAATTCCTACTGCTATGTGATATAAATCTAGACCAGCACAATTTACAGTACTGAGAAGCATCTGTGAAGTGAAGATGATTACATGATGTAGAAGGAACAGCGTGCAGTTTGACATTAGGACTGAGAGGCTCAGACTCTGGTCTTAACTGTCACAATTCAGGTGACATCCTGAGTATCAGTTTCTTCCTCTATGAAGCAAGAGGCTGTAATAGCTGTCCTATGTACCTACCTCAAAAACAGCCTAGCATAGCAAAAGACCTTGTAAGCTATGAAATTCTATCCACAAGTGGAATTTCCATTTCAAGGGTAACGCTATAATGTTCATCAGAAAGGCAAACTTAAGTCGTGAAAGCAAAAAGCTGTATTAGTCATGTTTAAAAATAATCGTCCCCTGGACTTTCAATGAGTGTCTCACTAACTTCAGGAGCACCACATGTAGGAGTCTAGACAGTATACTATTCCCCCAGCCTTTTTAGCTCCTCCATCTCCTGAAGGGGGAGGTGGAGGAAGCGATCCATTCTGCCCTGTGGCTTTGAGTGGATGGATAAGAAATCTGCTTGCTCGCGAGGGTCTCCAGTAAAACAGACAAGTTTTGAGGCTCCCTGGCATGTTAGTCTACATCATTGCACCTCTTAAAACATCTACAAGTCTCAGCCTAAGGGTGAAGACTTAGACCCATTTACTTCCATAGAACCTCTCCAATTTCTATATAAAATTTTGGTTTCTCTACTTCTGATCTAAACCCATGCTGTAGCGCAAGTCTAACACAGTACTCCTGCTCCACGAAGCCTCCACTAACTATAGACACAACTGTGGCAAACATCAACAGATATTCACAACTTCAAATCATGTGGCCAGAAGGGCAAAGATTTAGGAGAAACAATGGGTAGCAAAGAAGTTCTCCTGACTCAGATGTTGCTGATTCATTCTTAGGAGAGATGACTTACCAGCCGCGTATTTACCACAGGAAACAGCAATGCCAGAAGAGCTCCATTCAGCATGTGCATCTGTAACCTGTAGGAGAAAGAAGACCAGCAGGTCACAAGAGAGAAGAAAATGTTTGAGGTTGAGCTAGGACATGTGTAAGAAGCAGCCCTCTGTGTAAAGCAGCCCCAGAGCTCATCCACCAGAGCTCATCCAAATGTAAAGCAGATGAAAATCGGTATATTTTGTGTTTATTACCTGAAACACATACTACCTCAGAATCCCCAAACTCTTCCTGAACACGCGTTGGTTCCAACCGACCGTTCACTACATACCTGTAGTCTGTTTCCTAAACATTCTGTCAGCCCCACCCAATGCTTCTAATTGCTGCAGCATTTGTCTGAAAAGGGGAAGTGCAGCAGTTAAGTGCTTGTTGTTACTATACCAGCCAGTTTATTAGAAGGCGACTGCTTGTTTACTGAGCTATGGTCAGCCTTTCCACCAAAGACCTGGACAGAAAGTGTTGGTACAAGCTAGAGAGCTGTCTATGAGGATCTGTGTAGTCAACGTGACATCTAGGAGGGAAGCTTCCAGGAACGCTTGTTAAGAACTCTCCCGGTTAACGTTAACTCCAGAATGCCTGTGATGGACTATCAAACTTGGGTTAGCTGAGACAGAAAGACCCACCATGAGTGAGCAGGACCATTCCCTGGCCTGGGATTCTAGACTGTGTAAAATAGAGAAGGAAACTGAGGTGCATGTATTAATTTATTGCTCTTTGCTCTTGGCTGCACCTGCAGCCTTGACATCCTGACACCGAGGGACTAGAACATGGAATTGGGAGCAAAGTAAACCCTTTCTTCCTTAAGTTCCTTCTGTCAGTGTATTTTAACATAGCCACAGGAAAAGAAACTAACAGGATCTGGTTGTGGTGTGATGCAAACTGTTTCCTTGCTGTTAGCAATGCCTTTAGTAGCTGCTGCAAGAGGTGGGGGAGGGTAAACAAGGAAACCTTCAGGCTTTCTCTGATCTATTTTATATAAGGGATTCTGTCGCTTAAAGGCTGGCAGTGCTAGGACCTTAGCTTAGTGGTTGAATCCTTGATTAGCCTACATTACAGCATTACAGAAGAGGGGAGAGGAAGGGACCAAGAGAAGAGGAACATCAAGTAATTGATCGTGTTTCCAGGTCTCAATACCAGACTTGTTGAATGAGTACTACTGCCAGGTGGTGGTGCATGTCTTTAATCCCAGCACTGGTGAGGCAAAGACAGGCGGATCTCTGGGAGTTAGACGCTAGATACAGAGCGAGTTCCAGGACAGGCTCCAAAGCTACAGAGAAACCCTGACTTGAAAAACCAGTAATAATAATAATGAGAAGGAGGAGGAGGAGGAGGAGGAGGAAGAGGAGGAGGCGGAGGAGGAGGAGAAAGAGAAGGAGAAGGAGAAGAAGAAGAAGAAGAAGAAGAAGAAGAAGAAGAAGAAGAAGAAGAAAGTAAAATGCATACTATCCATATTTCCTATGTCAAGAACAAAGAGCAAGGAACCCAGGAATAAACCTTCTTGGGAGGTTCTGAGAAGGGATTGAAGGAGTTAGCTTTCTTCACCATTCCGGACAAATAGTTCTTGAGAAAGAGGCAAAGACGGGGAGAAAATTGGGATCCTGGGGGTGGGGTTGGATGGGGGTAAGGGGAGATGGGGAGAGAAAAGTGAGAGGAGGAGGATTGTGGGAACTTGGGGAAACAGGATGATTGGGATAAAGGAAGGTTGGATAGGGGAGCACGGAAGCACAATTCTTAGTTAAGGGAGCCACCTTAGGGTTGGCAAGAGACTTGAACCTAGAGTGGCTCCCAGGAGCCCAAGGCAATGTCCCCAGTTAGTTCCTTGGGCAGCTGAGGATAGGCAACCTGAAATGACCCTATCCTATAGCAATACTGACGAATATCTTGCATATCGCCATAGAACCTTCATCTGGTGATGGATGGAGATAGAGACAGAGACCCACACTGGAGCACTGGACTGAGCTCCCAAGGTCCCAATGAGGAGTGGAAGGAGGGAGAAGATGAGCAAGGAAGTCAGGACCACGAGGGGTGCACCCACCTGTAGTAATAGGGGCGGCAGGGCTGCGTTCTCAGCACCCCCGGCCGCCTGCCCGGCTAGCTTATGCCCAAAATAATTACACAGACACTGTATTCTTTTAATCACTGCTTGGCCCTTTAGCCCTAGCCCTTACTGGCTAATCCTGTTATCCCGATCAACCCATCTCTAATAATCTGTGAGAACCGGTCTTACCGGGAAGATTCTAGCCTAGTCCATCCTGGGTCGGAGCTTCATAGCGTGCATCTGCCCAGGAGCCAGGAGCATGGCGTCTCTCTCTGAGGCATCTCTCTCTGGCGTCTGCTCCCGAGAGAGCTGTGGAGTCTCTGCCCTCACTTCCTCTTCCTCCCAGCATTTTGTTCTGTTTACTCCTCCCACCTATCCTCTAACCAATAAAATGGGCCAGGGCAGTGCCTTTATTAGCCAATGACCTTCCTCCATCACCCACCCATTGAGACAGTGGGGCTGATCTATTGGGAGCTCACCAAGGCCAGCTGGATTGTGACTGAAAAAGCATGGGATAAAACCGGACTCTCTGAACATGGTGAACAATGAGGGCTGATGAGAAGCCAAGGACAATGGTACTGGGTTTTGATCCTACTTCATGTTCTGGCTTTGTGGGAGCCTAGCCAGTTTGGATGTTCACCTTCCTAGACATGGACGGAGGGGGGAGGACCTTGGACTTTCCACAGGGCAGGGAACCCTGACTGCTCTTTGGACTGGAGAGGGAGGGGGAAAGGAGTGGGGGGAGGGGGAGAAGAGTGGGAGGAGGGGGAGGGAAATGGGAGGCTTGGGAGGAGGCGGAAACTTATTTTTCCTTTTCTCAATAAAAAAAAAAGAATTAAAAAAAGAGGCAAAGAAAATGAGTTTGTTCCTCCTGAAGAAAAGCTGATTGGATGCTCATGGCAAACCATCACTGACCTGTGTGTCTCAGCACAAGCTCAGGAAGACACACACAACTGAAGAGGCTAGATGACCTCTGAGCCCTGCCCTCCACCCCGACACACACATACTAGTCCTAGGACAACAGGATATCTTGAAGAGAACCCTACTAGGTGTGTCCATCTTTGGGCCATGGGCTGCACATGCCCAGTATAACTAGGAATGTGGTCCAACGAGCAGTCATGAACGTAAAACACAATGCTGGGACTTTTGCTATTGTTTTCAAAGGAGAACTTTGTAGATGACAATGTTATGTCCCGGCATCAAAAGTTTGAACACGCCTGCACCTAGACATTTGGCGCTCCTCATGTCGCTCACAAAAGTGCCCCAACAACCAAGGAATGTTCAAGCGCAGCCCCATAATATGGCACAGAAATCCCGAGACTTGTTTTTCATCCCCGCTAATCTGTTTCCTCCTGCTGTTCTTTGTCACCAAGGCCTCAATGATCATGATGTTCACTTAATACACTTCAGGAAAGTATCACATTAATCACTTTGTATGAACCTCTCACCTAGTTCTGGTAGCGAATTTCTAAACAGGCACTCTGACTTTTCCATCATTTTGATGTGAAAACAAAGTTCATTCAGGAACAAAAGGTAACATGCTCAATGCCAAGACTCACTCAAATCTATTTGACATCACACTTCAAATTTCCAGCATTTATCACTACCTTATATCAGTGCGCCCACCCACTGAGACAGTGGGACTGATCTAATGGGAGCTCACCAAGGCCAGCTGATGATGGAGCATGTTATCAAACCAGACTCCCTGAACATGGCTGACAATGAGTGCTGACTGAGAAGCCAAGGACAATGACACTGGGTTTTGATCCTACTGCATGTAATGACTTTGTGGGAGCCTAGTCTGTTTGGATGCTCACCTTCCTAGTCCTGGATGGAGGGAGGGGAAGGTGGATGGGGGGAGCAGGAGGGAAATGGGAGGAAGGGAGGAGGTAGAAATTTTAATTAAATAATAAAAAAAAGAATAAAAAAGTTCTCAAAACTCAGTTATACGAGGTGAGTGGGGAGTGTAACGTGAATTATATTTAATACATAAAATGGACTTTGCCATAAATAATTACAAAAATAATGAACATTTATAAATCACTGGGCTAAGTATTCAAAGATATCTAATTCAATCCTCCTAAGTTTTTATTTTGTTTTGTTTTGGTTATTTGTTTCAAGACAAGGTCTTACTATGTAGCTCTGGCTGTCCTGGAACTCTGTAGACCAGGCTGGCCTTGAACTCACAGAGATCCATCTGCCTCTTCTTCTGGAGTGCTGAGATTAATGGTGTATACCACCACACTAGCTTACCTAGGTTTCATTATAATGATCATTATCTTCTTCATTTCATAACTGAGAAAACAAAAACTCTAAATAATTGACTTGCCCAAGATCACGTGGGCAATAAGTTTCAAACTTACATTTTTGTCACTGTACTCATCTTCACGCAAGGCATGAGCATTACATGTATCCTGTATAATTAGTTATTACCCATCTTCATGCATGGCATGAGTGTTAAGTATGTCCTGCATAACTAGTCACCTTTTTGTTTTATAATCTAGAAAGACTGTCTGAGGTCTTTTAAAAAATATTTTAATTATTTTTGTGTGTGACAGAGAGAAATGGCAGAGGAAAGATCACTTGCTTCATATGTTTCATGTGCACAGCCCTGGGTTCTATCCCCAGTGCTTGCACACACAAACACACGCAGGCACTCACGCACTCATACACACACACACACACACACACACACACACACACACACACTCAAGCATGTACTCCCCATAACCTTTCTGACTAGGGAAAGTATGTCCTTTCTGGAGACTTAGTCCTAAAGACAGAAGGGCTCAGTTGTGGGCAAATCTTTGGTATGTAAACTAATCAGTCCATAGCTGCCCTTCCTCTGAGTACACTTCTCCATTTTAGCCATCCCAGGACCTGGTGCCATGCAACTCAAATCCACCCCTCAGTTAAAGCATATAGAAATAAGTCAAACTAGCCAGCCCTGAACCCTTTACCCAGCTCTGCCTTGTCTTGCCTTCC